GCTTTTTTTTTTCTGCTTATGTGGTGCTGAGGAATCAAACCCAGGGCCTCATGCATGCAAGGCAAGTGCTCTACCACTGAGCCACCTTCCCAGTCCCTTTCCCCTTATCTTTAACCTCTCTCGTCAGTAGCTTCTTTTCCTTTTTCTTGGTCCAAGACTGAGATTTGAACCTGATACTTTTACTCACTGGCTAGCACTTTACCAACAAAGCCATGCCTCCAACCCCACCAGTAGTTCCTTACCTTCAATTTATAGTCACTATCAAAACTCTAAAATATTCTTTTCTCTCATTCCATTTTAAACTTTTTGTTTTGTTTTGCTTGTGTCTGTACTAGGGCTTGAGCTGAGGGCCAGGGTGCTAACCCTCGGCTTTTTTCACTCAAGGCCGGTGCTCTATCACTTGAAACACAACCCTACTTCTGACTTTTTGCTAGTTAATTGGAGATAAGAGACTCACAGATTTTCCTACCTGGGCGGCTTCAAACTGACATCCTCAGATCTCAGCCTCCTGAGAAGCTAGGATTACAGGTGTTCCTGGCCACTTCAAACTATTGAACCTGTTCTCATTCACTTCACAGGGTTACTTATTACATTTTATCATATCTGATTTTTACAACACCCTGAGAGATTTCAGAAGAAACTTGTAACTAGTTCAAGATTACACCATTTATGAGTCATAGACAAGCTCCATTCCACTTTAAATACTGTTCACAGGTCCACCCAGGATACTGCTCCCCTTAAGACTGCGCATGCTTCAACAGTGTCACCATGTCACCTCAGGCAGCTGTGGCCTCTCAACAGCTGTCTTTGATTCTCTCTCTCTCTCTGTCTCCCTCGCTCTCGGCTTTTTCACTCAAGGCTAGGCTGGCACTTTACTACTTGAGCCATACCTCCACTTCCAGCATTTTGCTGGTTACTTGGAAATAAGTCTCTCAGATTTGTCTGCCAGGGTAGGCTTCAAACATGATCTCAGATCTCAGTCTCCTGATAAGCTAGGATTCTGTAATCAGCTCCTTGTCCTTCCAGTTTTTGTTATTGTTTTTGCCATTGTCTCTTCTAGTCCTAGCATCCCATGCATTCTTCTATTGGCATGTGCCTTCACAGACCACCTCCAGTGAGAACTTACTTCTCCCAGAACTCTTAGGCTGGTGTTGGAGGCAGGAGACTTCAGGCATAGAGGGAGAAGATTTTGCTGTTGGGAAGGAGAATGGGCAGAGGTTTTAAGGTAGCACCAGGTACCCAGGATTCCCAGGGTAGCAAAGAGGGAAGCCATACAAGGTCTAGACTACTAGGCTGGGAGTTTACCTTATACCTCCATCCACTATAGAGGGTAGAATTTATCACCTAAATCAGGACCTTTTAGTGAAAGGAAGCACTAACGGTAATTACATAAGACTGCCCAGCATAACTGGAGCTGTGGTCTTCTGACTATGTAACAAAGCTAATCCAAGATGACATATCTTGCTAGGTACAATTAGTCTGGAGGCTATGTATAAGATGGATACAGACAAATCTTCAGTTCCTTGCACTAGAAAAGAAGGAGAGAAAGTTGTACATTGTGGTTCACACCTATAAATTGCAGCCACTTGGGAGGTGAAGATGGGGAGAATCAAAGTTTGAAGCCAGCTCAGGCAAAAGTTAGAAAGGCACCCTCTCATCAGTGGGAGGCCATAGGTAGGGGGATGAAGGTCTGAAGATAGACTTAGACAGAAATGTCAAGACCCTACTTGAAAAATAACCAAAGCACAAAGGTCTGGGAGCGTGGCTCAAGTGGTAAAGCACCTGTCTAGCAAGTGAAAGTCCTTGAGTTCATACCCCAGAACCTCCACCATTACCAGCAGCAACAACAACCAAAACAAAGGGGGTTAAGATGTAGAGAAATTTTGAGAGGAGGAGCAAATATTAGAACAGCTACTGTGAGGAATGGACCCAGTTAAAAGACTACTTTAAAGAAGCTTAGATGTAGTAGTGTTAAGAGAGCTTGCCTCAAATTTATGAGGGCTGTGTTCAGTCCTCAGCACTGGAAGGGGAAAGATTTCTAGAGCAATCTAAGGGCTCAGTGGGAGTTGAAAAGCAAA